AAAATGATATATTTAAGATATTCTTACTTTTGAATATTATTACGTTTTAGCTGTTCACATAATCTTTATATGCGACGCAATACATATGTTGGATTTGTACAAAGAATGAAATATAAAATGTTGTATAAATCAACTTTATTTTATAACACAAATTTTGTGTACTGCTTCTATTATTATATAATAATAGAACTAGTCAGTTTTTTAGCTGCCACTGCACAAAAAGGAACAATTTATGCAACTACTCGCATAAGTATGATGGATACAATACGTATGATTACTACAAAGTACATCTCTCTCTATTTATAATATGCCTCGTAAATTATTTCGTTCAGATGAGCACATCAAAATCGTTATTCTACTTTATTTTTTACGCTTATTCACTAAGTTCCCGTTGTATTGTCTATATTTACAGATACAGATGTATATAATTGTCATTAAGGCAATTTGAGTTTCAAAGCAGGTACAATAGATGGATGCAAAACATCATTTCTTTCCTTTCGAGTAAACGAAATAGTTCGTAGACACATGCATATGGAACAGAGAGATAGAACTTACAATAATTATTAGTACCAGTAGTTCGCGGAATGAGTATGAGGTTCGCGTGCAGTCCAGTGCTATTGTTGAGCTTCGTTTTGAAACTCGCGTAACCTGCACCACTATTTAACTATTTCGCGTAATACAACTCACTTCTTAAATTATACATTAAATGCTTAGGCTGAAATTAATAAGTACATAGTCATTATAGACTTACGCTCTCTGACTTTTGTTGGCTGTGAAGTAAAAAAAAAGAATTAAGTTTCTTACGTATGAGCATGTTTTGGAAAATACATACGATAGCATAATATGTACCCTCCTATTGTAAATATAGTAACTTCCGAGGAAGGAAGTTTCGCATTTTTGTATTTTTCCTTACTTTTCGATTTTTGCCTAACATCTTCGTATCCATAATATATTGCAAATATAAAAGATCATACAGGTACAACATCTTTCAATACATGCTTCAAAGACTAAATTGCGTATTATTATCAATTCTCTAACTTTCACTAGACATTTCGACACCGTCGATGCATGCAAATTGCCATAGGCACTTATGTCATAATAAAATTTGTTATCATTACGTTGTACATTTTATTCTGTTTCGAGAGGTTCATTAAATTCCTTTTCTTTAAGAAAATGCATTTAAACTGTGCACGTACATAATATCATCAACTAGATGCTTTCATAACTATGAAGGCATCTTACTATTTACAGCTGCCTTTCCATTTCGTCAAACATAAACACATACATAAACAAGGAAATATATAAATTTAAAGAATTGTTGACTGCCTGGATTTTTCAAAACTTATTTCTATAGCAATGGGTATGCACAGTTTGAATTTGAAATTAAATTTGTGACTTAGAGTACATATGTATATTCAGAAAAAGGATTATGAATGCTAAATATTAGATATCATGGAAGAATTAAATATATGATTTTTTTTATCTGCAGAGTATACGGGCACAGCTTATAATTTACAGAATGACAATTATTATAATAAATTTATGAGTGTTAAGCATAAAAATCCCGATGTAGCTATTTCGAATCATATTAATGTAATCACAGGAAATAATATCCTTCGAAGCAATATTTAGATTTGTTGAATGAGAATTACACTACATCTATACTCATGTTGTATATGCTAAAAAATTTTGCGTATAACTCAAATAAACTTGAGCAATATTAATCTGATTTTATAGCAATTTATGTATCTTGGCAACTGATCAAATATTGATTAAGAATGTTTTCGAAAACTATTTGAATTTAATAATCAATCAAGGATGTAGTCTCAAATTATTCTTGAATTATTTGCTTGTTGAATCATTTGTTTCCTAAATAATATTATATACTTTTTAATATATGTATGTACATATGTTTTATATGAAGATGATTATGTGAATGCAAGTGTGTATATATATATATATATATATGTGTATGTCAGGATATAGGTGGATGGGTGTGTGCGTGTGTTGTATGTATGTGTGTGTGTGTGTATACATATATGAATAGATATCTACAAATGCAACATAAGTTACAGAATGAAAAATGATGTGATTATTGAATTTCACTCAGGCAGTAACTCTAATTTATAAACCGATCATAAATCAGATATAAAAATTATACTAATAACTAATCTATATTCGGCTTTCCATCTTCATAGATCCATTCGCCGGTTGAGATGCAATTGTAACTTCACTGACTTCATCCGTTTCCGATTGACTCGATGTGTCAGAAACGTCGTCTATTTCCTTTCTCTATATTTAAATTAAATATGTGCTTTTTTAGTTTTGTATAAAATATATTTATAAAGTTTTATTATTCACGAAAAACTAAAATGTTAAAAAAAAATTGTGAAAAATTTACTTTAAAACTGCTTGACATGTTCACTTATATTTTTTTAAATATTATAATATATCAATTTGCAAATGTTTTATTTTCGTATTACTATATACATTATTTATATGCAAATATGCTTTATTTTCTGCAAAAATTGATATATTGTTGTTCGCATGTGGTAATTTGTTTGTAACAATGCATAATAATAAATTATAGATAAAAAATTTCTTTATATTTTCTCTTATTATTAATTAATATTAAATATTATTCACTTTACTTAATTATTTTACTTACTTTTTGGGAATGATGTATATTACGAAGAACTCTTTGAACATCCGGATTACTTTCTAAGGTGGAAGTCTGACTGGACGGAGGATGCGAATATTCAGAAGTATTTTCCTCATCAGAAGCTAATGCTCCCTGTATTCTCCCGGGTGTTATTAGTTTTGATCTTCGTAATCTGCATCCGGGACCGATTGGCCTCCTTGCGATGCTATATAATAGAGAATATATTATATATTTCATATATTTAAAAGAATATATTTAAGAGAATATATTTTCAAAACGATTCTTATTATTAAACGTAAAAATTTAAATAGTTGTTAAAAAATAAACAAAATCGAAAATTTTTTTATAAAAATTTATATCATAAAATTTTGCAGAAAAGATCTAATTTTTTTTCAAGAAGTTGACAAGATATTATTTGATATACATATAAGTTCATATTTAAATTAATTTTTTCAAATGTAAAATGTTCAAAAATTAACTTTTAAAAAGTACGAATTAAACTATTATTACATTGAATCTTTTAATATAGCTATAAAATATAAAATACTTATGGAAAAATATTGTATTCATTATTGATTAGAATACCTTCTTCGTCTTAAGGAATAATTATAAGTATAGCTTGGATCTTCTCCCTCTTCATCTGACCAGCTTTCTTCACAAGCATCATCTTCGCGATCATCCGTATTATCCGAAGAGGCTCGTATTTTAATTTCGGATTGTTCTACATAGTGCCCGGATAATTTGCCCGAATCTTCTTTATTCCTACTGCAAAGTTCAATTAATTTAATAAATATTGAATTATACTTATCAATGTTAATCCTTAAATGTAATGCATTTTATGCAATATTGAAGTAGTCTGATTTCAAAAATTATTTCTGCTTAATGAAAGATTTTTAGAATAATAAAATAACTAATAAAAACCTAGTTTAATAAATATCAAATAAAGTACATTTTTACATATTTATTTTAGACTTAAGTATAAGTTATAATATTCTTTAAATATTTAATTATATTATCACTAGTTGATATAAACACCGTCGATTTACTATGTACTTAAGAATTAACAAATTTTATAACTGAAATAAGACATGTGTTCACGGATATTATGTCATACCTATGAGAAATTATGACATCATCGCCGTTTCCATTGTCAATGATAAGACGATTCGCATTAATAATTTCGCTGACTTTTCTGCCGAGAGTTTCAAGATTGTCGTCGTCGCTACAATCTTTCAAACGTTCGTTTCCATTAGCGTTATTTTCATTTAAGTGCTCAGGACTGGAACATGAACTAGTTTGCATCGGATAGTGCGTTTCCGGCAAAATTGGATTCCCATTTAAACATTCCGTCACTTGCTTGTTCAATGAATGTCTTCTGACGAGATCCAAAGAGGATTT